CGCCGGCGAGCCGCCCCCCCCGCCGCCCCAAATCTTCCCGGTCGACAGGAACGAGCCCACCGGCCTGGACTTGGCCCGCTTCCTGTCGGTGAGGCTCCCGTCTCGGCGCTTCTCTTCGGGCGGTCCGGCCTGCAGCCGTTGCCTTTTGCCCGCAGGGCCGCCGCGGCGGAGTCCTGAGCGAGGACGACGTTTTGACGCACATCCAAAACGGCCACGCCACCATGCGCGTCATGCTCAGCAACCGACGCAAGAACCTGCAAACGGTCAGGGACGCGTGGGCCCGCCACGGCATCAAGGTCAGACGCCAAAAAGCGGCCGGCCCGTCCGTCAAAGATCGATCGACGCGCGTTTCCCCCCTTCCGACGGCACGTACTGTCGGAAGGGGGGGGGAACCGACCCGTGAGTTTTGTGCGCTACATGTTTGAGCGATGTTACGGCGGCAGAGGATCCAAAAGCGAACGAGAGGGGGCGAGGATAGACGCTTGGTCGAGCGGAAAAAGACCGACGAAAACAATTGAGTCTGCGCAAAAGTGGCCTAATGACAAGCGTGCGCACTGGCGACCGCCTCGCTCGCACTCCTCATGCGTCGGTCATCTCATCTGGCGCCCGCTCGGCAGATCGGCGGCGCTCTTGTACGCGGGACGTGATTGTGTGGGAGCCCGGCCTGACCATGAAAGCAAAGAGAGACAGAAAGTCCCCCCCCCCCTCCAAAATAAAAGCGCAGAAGGAAGAGGCACAGCGCAGCGCAGCCAAAACCTGTTTTTCCTTCACGTTTGTCATCGTCTCGCCACGCCCCCATCGCACTGGACAAAGACGTTTCCCGCACGCCAATGCGGTCGCGTCTTTCACGGCCTCCATTCTGTCATCGGAGAGCGACTCCGAACGTTGCGTGAAGCTCAACGGACGTTCGATGCAAGTTCAAATGAGTGCCAAAGATCGCATCTTCCATTTGCCAGCAGTTGGCGATGGCGATCCATCTTGGATGTTGGTGACAAGAACAGGACGCCGCCGTTCTTTTCCAATTTAGAGCAAATTCATCACAGCGTGAAGCGAGTCAGGGATCCCGCCCTTCATTCTCGGTTGCGTGGAAATTCCAACTCGACACAAATACTGGGGTTTTCTTTTGTATTTGGGGGTGGGGGGGGTGGTCTTCAGGATTGCTCAATTCTGTTTGTGAGACTTCCATTTGTGCGGGTTGCCAAATAATGTCCGACGGTGTCCGCAGAGCGCCCTGGACGCCGCCGTGGCCATGAACGACCTCTCCATCGTCGTGGACGTCGTCAACATCATCAATATGCAGCCGTAAATCTCACGCACGCCCACGCGCCGCGCGCGCCGTCCCATCCGCTCCGCAATATGCACGCGCATGCCTTTGTGCATTCAGGTCGCTCTGGACTCTGGACGTGTGCGCAACCAGTCTTCCTCATATCGACACGCTGCTGCAGAGTAAATACGAAAGGTCAGTTGCGCCGCGTGTTCGTCTTCTCCGAATGTTTGCGCGACGTGCCCGCTCGCGTCCCCGCGCACACGCGTTGCTTTGCCGCTGTCAGTTACATGCAGTGCGGCTGCGCATCCCTGAAGATCATCATGAAATATTTCTGGCCGCTCATCTGGGAAACGCTGCGGGCGGGGCCGTCGGTGGGCGTGGACGTCACGCGGGAGGAACGGTGAGTGGGCGCGCGACGACGCCCGGCCCGCCTCGCCTCCCCGGCGGCCGGCCGTCGTGACCGAGAGCTCTGACCTTTCAGGCAGCAGAAGTGCCGCGTGTGCCACAAGCATCTGCAGAACATCAACAACGCGGTGAAGAGCAAAGCCGCGCAGGCGGGGCGGCACGGCTCCGCCTTCGGGGAACTCCGGATGCTCATGGCGCAGCTCGACCAGCACCTGTGAACGCCCGCCGGACAAATTCGGGTCCCGCTCACGTCGGAATTTGGGGCGTCGTTCCCAAAACGTCCACTGAAAACGGGCGACCGCCCGACAAATCGACGGGAGCCGCCTCGGTGAGCCCGTGCGGAAATCAGGAAATGAGCGCTGCGTCCGGATCCCCCCGATTGGCGACGACTGCCGACGAATCGCCTTTGCGGTCGTCCAACGGAGAGCCGGAGGCGGGCTCTTTGACGGCACGGTGCGTGCGGTGGCCGCTTTCGTCAAAACGCCGATTCCCGATGTCATCGTTGCGCTGCGATGATGTCGGCCGGCCGCATACTTTGAAACGCTTACATTTTGAAAACAAAACCAATAAAAATGCTCTTGACTAGGCGACTTGGCTCGTTCCTTTTCCGTTCGAAACGGTACCGACGAGATCATCTCCTTCCCGTCTGCTCCCTCCCGTGCACATTTTCTTCCGCGCCGTTCCGGTCGGGTGACGAAAGGTAAAGGTGACTTCCATCCGATGGGAATCCCGCGGGGAAAAAAACCGTCAGCCTGGACTTTAGACGGGCAGAGCGCTTTGCCACGTCGTGCCTTTGATTGGAGATTTGCATGATCCGAAGGGCTTTCTTCTCGCGCGCGGGGGTCGCGGGCCACACCCTGAACTCGTCGCCGGCCGGCCGATCATCGCGGGGCACGCGCGCACAGACGGACAACCTTTCTCGCTCACAATCGCGCCTCAGGACTCAGTCTGGACAGAAATGTGAGTTTTCAAATGTCATTCATTTGAAATGGCCACCGTTCAATGAAATAATATGCGGGGGAAAAACACGTTCTCTCGCGTCGACGTCCGTTTGTTTGAACCCCGCCCGAGCGCTGAGCCGCCGCCGCCGCCGCCGCCGCCGCCGCTTGGTGATCCGCGCCCGGCAGTTCCTTTGGAGGTCGCCCGGTGGCGATGAAGAGCGCGCCTGTACTCGGGCCGAGTACAGGCGGAGAAGGAGGAGGAAGAAGAAGAAGAAAAGACGCGGAAGCGGAAGCGGAAAGACGCCTCGCGTAGTTGGTTCGCCGGAGCGTTTTCGGCCATGGCGACGGCGGACGTGGAGGACGAGAGCAATTTGGCGTCGGTCTTCCAGGACTGCTTCCCGGACGGCTGGAGGGACCGAGCGGACCTGGCGGCCTACTTGGCGGAACTCAGTTCGTTGGGCGTGGAGCAGCTGGGCCGCGAGCGGGAGCGGCTGGCGGACGAGCGAGCCGCCATCCTGGAGCAGACCCGACGCCTGGCCTTCGCCAATTACCACACTTTCATTCGCACCGCCGACTGCACCGAGCGCATCTACCGAGACTTCGGCCGCGTGGAGGCCGCCGTGTCGCGGCTTCTCGACAAGCTGCCCGAGTTCGGACAGCGATGCCGGTGCGCGTCCACCAACACGCCCTCGCACTCGCCCCGCGCCCGCGACGTCTGACGCTTGACCGACCGAGAATGTTCCATTTGACGCAAACAGTTTTGGGGGGTTTTCCCTCGCTCTCGCCGTCTGAAACGGACGGCGCGGGTATTTTGACGGCGTCGGCCGTTCGTACCGCAAAGGCCTTCCAACCGATTGATCAAGTCGTTTGAACGACCGCATCGGTAGATTTGTTCCAACGGATGAGGAAAGTCCTTCCAACTGTTTGCTCGAGTCCTTCCAAAATGTGCCCAAGTCGTTTGAACGTACTGTAGAGAGGGCTCCGTCCTTTTCGCAGTTACCCACAATGCACTACCTGGGGGTTGTTCTAAACAAGCCGTGCACGAATAAAAAGACGACTTCGTGTATGGCTTGTTTAGAACAGCCCTCCAATATGGCCGCCGGTAGTGCATTGTGGGTAATTCCCCTCTATTGGTCCAACCTAGGCGGAATCAACGCAAATGGACTTTCTGCTTGGCTGGGCGGCATCCGTCAGAAAATGGGCACAAATCCCAATGATTGTTTTCCAGAGTCCAAGTGGACGTGCGCAAATCCAGTCGTTTGAACGGGAACACCAAGGTCAGCTTTGTGTCTGCACGCTGACCAAATTCGGACGGTATTTTCTGTCGAGGGGCCGAAATGTCGGTCCGTGCGTTTGTCGAGGCGCGCGACGCGCTCTCAGATGGCGTGGGGCGCTGACGGCGGTTCCTTGTGCGCTCGCTTGCCTTCAGGAGCTTCGCAAAGGAGGCCGAGCGGATGTCGGCGAGCCGCCGCATGAACACGCTCACGTTGAACCGCCACACGGAGATCTTGGAGATCCTGGAGATCCCGCAGCTGATGGACACGTGCGTGCGCAACGCTTACTACGACCAAGCGCTGGAGCTGGCCGCGTACGTCCGCCGGCTGGACAAGAAACACGGCGCCCTTCCCGTCGTGCAGGTGACGCCGCGGCCGCTCGCTCGCGATGGGCTCGCGGGGCTCCGTTTTCACCCGTCTGTGCTTTTTGTCACTTTTCGGCGATAGCGAATAGCCGACCGATCAAAAAGTCGACGCGCTCTGCTTTTTCCAATCCTTTATATGGATGGCACCACATTATTGATTGATTGATTGATTGATTTTTGCGCCCAACAGCCCCACTTCACCAACTCGGCACGCGGTGCGCTTTGCCTTCCCCACTTCAATCTCAAGAGGGAGATGATGATTTTTCCTCTTTCCCCCACGGGCGTACGGGCCCAGGGTGTCTTTGCCAAGTGAGTTGCCTGCGCTTGACCACATGAGGGGAAAAAGAGGCGCGCAGAGCCCTTTCTCCGATCGTCAAGATACGAAGGGGAAATCGTAATCGGCCGCCATGTCGTTCTCGCACGTCCTGCGAGACCGCGCGGCGGCGGCCGCGCCGGCCCATCCGCCGGCCGACTGAAAAAGCAGCCGCCGACGGGGACGTTGCCGGGGGCCGGAGGGCGGCGACCGCCGGGGCCGTCGTTTTGACGCTCGTCCCGCTTTGGCGCGGTCTTAAGACTCTCTTCGCTTGCCGTTCGGCGCGACCGCCAAAACAAACGCACGTGGGCATCGGTCATCCACATGAGGGGAAAAAGAGGGCGCGCAGAGCTGTTTCTCCGATCGTCAAGATACGAAGGGCCGGAGGGCGGCGACCGCCAAAACAAACGCACGTGGGCATCGGTCACGCCGCGTCCGGAGCTCGACGTCGTGTTTGCAAATAAGCGCGCGCGCGCTTGTGGCTCGAGTCCGCCCAGAGCGGAGCAAAGGTCTTCGCGCGTGAGAATACGGCCGTTGAAGAGGCTTCGTGTTGACGGATCACGCGCACGTTTCATTCCTGATGGATTCGTTTGCAAATCAGCGCGCGCGCTTGCGGCTTGAGTCCGCCCAGAGCGGAGCAAAGGTCGTCGCGCGTGAGAATACGGCCGATGAAGAGGCTTCGTGGTGACGGATCACGCGCACGTTTCATTCCTGATGGATTTACAAATGGCAATCGCCTGGCGCATTTGCGACCGTTGTCGCGGATCCCTTGAACGCGTCTTGTGGATTGAAGTGCGCATTTGTAAACGCTCGACCGGACCGCGCGAGCGGATTGCGCGCCGCGCGGCCTGCAAGTAGCCTCGGAGAAGAGAAGAGCGGCTCACGACGACCGGGAAGCTCGCGTCGGCAACGGTGGAAACGGCGAAACGTGCTCATCGGCCTGTGCCAAGTCGCGACATGTGGATTCACGTTCCAACGCCGCCTAACCGTCGCCGTTGTGTCGTGTGTGTGCGTGCGTGTGCCTGCGTGTCCCGTCTCAGGGCCTGGTGAGCGAGGTGGCGGAGAGCGCTCAGCTGATGCTGCTTCACCTCCTGCAGCAGCTGCGGAGCGACGGGCAGCTGTCGTCGTGCCTGCGCGCGGTGGGCTACCTGCGGCGCATGGACGCCTTGGACGAGGGCGAGCTGCGCGTCAAGTTCCTGCAGGCGCGCGGCGCCTGGCTGCGCGCGGCGCTCGACGCCGTGCCCGACGCCGACCCGTACGCGCACGTCAGCAAGAGCGCCGAGACGTGCCGCGTGCACCTCTTTGACATCATCACGCAATACCGCGCCATCTTCTCCGAGCGCCGCGCCGCCTCGGCGCCGCAGCGGGCCGACGTCCTCCACGGCTGGGTGCTCGCCAAGGTGCCGTCCGCCGATGTTTTGCCCGCGTCTGCCCGCCGTGCAAAAAAAAAGAAAGAAAAAAAGCCCTCTCCCACTTCGATCGGCTCGTCGGCGTCGGCGCCGAGAGAAGATGCGCAATCGTCGCTCGGTCGTCGCGCCGAGCCGGCGGACTCCCGATTTGACCGCGTGGCCCCGCTCCCGCGCGCAAAGCGACTGACGCGCCTTTTTGCCCGTGCCCGCAGGTGTGCGAGTTGGCGGAGGCGCTGGAGCGCGACCTGCGGCGCGGCGCGGGCGCCCGACTGGACTCGCTGGCGGCCCAGTGCATGTACCTCGGCCTGTCCTTCAGCCGGGTGGGCGCCGACTTCCGCGGGCGGCTGGCGGTCGTCCTGGCGCGG